AGGATCCAGGGCTCTTCCAGGGTCCTGACTCTCGGATCAGACCCGGACGTCGTGTCAGTCGGTTCCGGTTTGTTTCCCGGTCCAGTCACACTGACACGGACGACACGCACCTCTTGTGCGGGTCCTGGTCTTGGTTCGGTCTCGTTAAACTCTCAGCTGTGTCTGGTCGGACGCTTCAGCTCAGCCAGGCTGGCGATGCGTTTAAGTGATGCTCGGATTCTTTACAGCCCTGCTGATGCCTTCAGAGGACGTTAATAAACGTGGGAATTTTCTTCACTTCTCTGGCTTTCATTGAGCTGAAAATAAATAAAGTGAAATAGCCCATTGTTCGTTCTGTGGGCGGCTTTCAAAGGTTGTAAACCTTTTGGGGATTCCTGACCTGGATGATCGAGCATGCATGAAGACGATTTGATAAAGACGTCACACACTGCAGTTTTAATTTATTTGGATCCACGTTAAATACACAGTTTTTTTCTCATTACAATATTAACATGAGATGAACAGAGAGGAAGGTCAGACTTCATCGATAACTTCACTAACTCAGTGCTTCAATTTAATACTGTCAAATTATTACTGTGCAGTTTATACTGCTTAACTTTTATTATTGTAATATTAGTAGTATTATTTCAGTGTCATTTCATTGCTTACCAAACGTGGAACTCAAGTCATTTCTCATAATGTATGTCAGTATGTGAACCCTTTAAACTTTAATTCTAATCAAGTCACCACATTTCTTTCAATAAAACTCTTAAATCTGGAGTTTAGTCAAATAATTTATCTGGAAATCACAGATGGTGACGCTCTGAGAACTCTATGAAGACGATCAATGTGAATATCAAAGATCTTTTAACCTGTTAAACTTTTTTAATGTCTCTAATGAATACATACAAAGAATATTCATTGTACAGATTCATGTTTAAGAAATAAATACTGAAAATAATCCTGCAGCACCTCCATCAGGACAAAACAGAAAATAATTAAGACAAAGTTGAAGAGCTGTGGAGTTTCAGTCTGACTGAAGCTTTTCTGCCACTCAGACCAGAACTGCACAAAAGAGTTCACTGATAGTTTCACAGTTAGTCCAAGAGAAAGACGACATTTCCAGTTAAACCAGTATTCTAATGAGAAAGGAGAGAGCAGCTCCTAACGCCAAACCCAGAGAGAGGAAGAACGCCATGATGGCTCCAGCTGTTTCTGCTTCATGAGGAAGAACGTTCCTGTTAAAAAACAGAA